ATAATAATATTAAAAATATGGTAAACAAACAAAATTACCTAAACTTATGGAGAACATGACAACTAAGCAAATTTACTTCTCAAATAATAGTATAGATATTTTTTAATAAATTTATCGTATAATAAAACGAATTTCTATTAATAATATTATACATTTATAAAATAAGATAATTGTTACGTATTATATTGTTATCTTTGAAATATATTTTTTATTCACTGAAATTAAAAATTAAGTTAAAATATTACTAGTTAAATATAAAGAAAGCAATACTAATTTATCAACTTCTCCATGGTTTTATATTTTTCTTATTTATCATATTTTAATAATCTTATATATTATTTATTAAATAATAAAACGAATGTATACTAATAATACTAGATTAAAAAAAAATTAAGTTAATTCTTATCTATTAGATTGTTATCTTGAACATATATTTTTTTATTAGAAACTTTAAGTGAATTATCTGATTTATAATTTCTCCATGATTTGGATAATTTTGATTATTTGTCATATTTTTAATAATTCCATATAAAATTTATTATAAAATAAAACACGAATTTCTAATAAAATTATATTTTGATAAAATAAGATAATTCTTATGTATTATATTTTTATCTTGAAAATATATTTTTTATTATAGAAATAAAAAATTAAGATAGAAAAATTGTAATTAAAATAAATTAAAGTAACACATTTATAAAAATATATTTTTAAAAATATTTTGTTATGTGAGTGTTGTCATTTATAATTAATTTTAAAACATAAATCATAACTTATTATATTGGTTTGGATTAATAAAATATAGACTAATAATAAATTATACGAAAATTATGTCCGCATGTGCGGGCAAAATACCTAGTTAAAACTTTAAGCATGAAAAAAAAAAAGGGAAAATTGTGTTTAGACAAAAAAAAACAGGTACAGTATCCTATGAGACTAATCTCAACCTATAAACATCCCATTAGAATTGTTTTTTTTGAAATGACAATTGTACCCTAAAATGCAATTAAAAAAACCATTTGCCAAATATAAAAATATAAGCTAATAATTAAATTAATAATATCTCCAATGTGGACACTAATTGTCAAATGTAAAAAATATAAGTTAATAGTTAAACTAATTAATATCTCCAATGTGGAAACTAATTGTCAAATATAAAATATAAGTTAATAACTAAACTAATTAATATTTCCAATATGGAAATTAATTAAACTATTTTTCAAGTATAAAAATATAAGTTAAAAATTTGAGTTCTTCAAATATGGAAAACAAATATTTTCAAATATTATTTTCTCATATTTTTCAAACTATTCATAATTATCCGTAAATCTGCATTCTAATATATGTAAAATACAATGAACATGTTTGAACTCGATTTTTACCGATTTTAGATTAATGAGTAATATGTAGATTATGTGTTTTACATGTCTTAGAGCAACAAGTTAAACGTAGAATGTGTATTCTAAATATTATTAGATTACTTCAATTTATGTAGATGATATTCTAATCTTAGTAGATTTAATAGAAAACGTGAATTTCATTTTCCATTTCGTAGAATGTCAATTTTGCTTTTCGTAGACCGAAATATGAAATTTTGATTTAAATATTTTTTTTCAACCAACAGAGAACACCTCTAATTTGGTTTAGGTTATTTCATCAGTAATTTCAATTTTTCCTAATTTATTTTGTTTGTAAAATTATTTATTGATTTATTTTATTAATAGAAAAAGGCATTATGGATAAAAGTTTGGAATTAGCCTAATGAGACAATATATCTGTTTTTTTGTATAAGAAACAATTTTCTAAAAAAAAAAGAGAAACCCACTACTGAACTGCAATATATATATTGTAATGTTTTTTGCTTTTTTCTCTTCATCCCATTGTATACGAAGTGTATTTAGAACTAATTAGAAGCAACATTAGTGTACAGCTCTTTCTTACAACCTCATTACAAAACATAAAAAAAAACATTTTGTCAAAAAAAGACATAAAACATTATGTTGTACCAAATATTTGATGAAATTGTACTGGACTAGAACGAGTCACACCATATGCTTTAGCTATAGCTCATTTCACCAATCTATCTAGATCAGTTTATAATGGACACACATTTTAAAGCAGGCCTACATTGAAGACTAATCACTACAAGAAAAAACAGATGTTACCGACAAAAATTTACGAGGAAAAATTTTTCTCGTAAAATTACGTTAACTTTATGAGTATCTTACGAGCAAAAATAAAACAAAGTAATTTTGTCGTAAAATGACGACAATAAATTTTCGTCGTAAAGATGATGTAATTTAACGTGGTTTTTATGAAGAAATAAGGTTTCGTCGTAAAGTAAACGTAAATTTAACAAGGATGTTACGACGAAATATTTTATATGGAAACGACGAAATCTCGAGTGCACCAACTTTTCAGTGGTAACCACGTTTTTTGTTTCTTCTACCTAACTATATTTCCTTGTAAATTCCTAGTAAATTTTCACCTACCAATTTTGAAAATTCCCTATAAGAAGAGATTGAGGATGCATAAGCAACATCCACCCTACTTAGCTAACAAAGCTATGTTAAAATTCTCCATGTCTCTTATTCCTAATGTCCCAGCTCTTTTTTGATTTTGTAATTTTACTTCAGCTGATCCAAAGGATCTTATGTGTATCCTTAATCGATGTCCACCAAAAGTTCCTCATGTAGATGTAATTTTTGTTTCAAATACTAAAATTTAAATAATTATAAAATAATTTTCATTTTTAAAATATATTTATTAATCTTTATTATTATTTTAAAAATGTTAATAAATTAATTTTTACTTGAAACATCTTTTGTTTAATAACATGAAAACACTGGTAAAAATACTCTACACATTTTTTTGATAACTTAACTCTCTACATGTTTAATATAAAAAAGATGATAACCATTTATCAAAATAGTTATACTATTTCGTCAGTCTTGGTTTTCTTATGTTGTTGCTAATCAGACTGAATAAATTGCAAAAGAAGGTTGTTTCATAGTCTCTCATGGATTCTAGAGGACATTAGACTTCTTGTATCTAGTACTTTTGGCATCATTCTGTCCTGGATTGTTTCATGAACTTTAAGGATCATGAGATTGTCTTATAAACAGATGGATAAGACTATATTGTCTTCATTGTCCAGCACAACCACTTCATCATCGTTTATCATAGTTTTCTACTGATGAATCCTCCATTGATTCCAACGACAGCTTGTCTCCATCTCTTTCTCGAGATAATGATGATGCATGCCAAAGGCTTAACTTGTTGCCTAGAAATATTGCAGACAGAGAAAAGGATTTCACTGAAAGAGATGGGAAGTTTCATATCAACCCTTGTGAAACTACATTCTAACAGCCTGATGAGAAATATTATGACCTTAAGATTGTTTTGGAAATCCAAGATTTATTGTCCACCAAAGCTTCATGTTTATCCATGCAATAATCTAAAGAAAAAAAAGGAGATGTGATGGAAGACAGCTCCAGTGATTTTTTTTTGGAAATGAAGAGACAGTTGATGTATGCATTGGTCCTCAGAAAGAGCTTATCGGGTTGTTCAAGTTAAATGATTCAAAACATTTGCGCACTGATCAAGTTACAGAGAAGTCAATGTCTGAGCAAGGTGAAATGCAAGGTTAAATCCTAGATTTTGATGTAAGTATCTTCCCATGTATGAATGAAAGAAGTTAACTCGTTCTTAAAGCATATATCAACATCACTAATGCATAGCAAAATGTATCTGTGTTGGAAAAGTCTCTTTCAGATCCACGTTCAAGAGAGCTTGACAAACCAGAAATCAGATAGATCTATTTCAGCTCCAAGACTAGACGAAAGGTCAAAGGAAACAATATCTTATTGAAATCATTCTCCAATGGGTTCCAGTGAAGTTAATTTTTCGTTTCAATGTGACTTGCGATGGCTGGAAGACTCTTTATATGAATAGAAGTGACATGTCTTTATGGCTTCTATAATCAAGGAAGAGATACTAACAAACCTACAGAGTTTTGAGGTTTGCTCATGGCCAACGTGATGAGGAATGTGATGATTATGAACCAGGAACTCAAATATATGATTTGGAATCACATCATTGAGAGTCTATTGAATAAGATATAATTATATTTCATATAGTCGCAGCTGTGGAGTGGTCTTGATGAAAATTAGTTCATATTGGTTGGCTAGCTACAATAAAGGAAGTAAAGTTTGTGCAGTTTTGATCTCTTTGTGAAATCTTTTAAAGCAATGACTCTTCATCAAGTCAATGCAAGAACACCCTTCACGCTTTAAGAAATTGTGTAAAGGACATTATTACAGATATAATGCAACAAGAAATTCACAATCAGTGGAAATGCTTACTATTATTTCTATCTAAGACAACCAATGGATGATATGAGTATCGTAATCAGCGGTACCCAATCAGTTTAACTTTGAACTATATATTTAGTTAAATAAACATTATTATTTTATTCAATTATGCTGTATTAAACCAATCTAATTTGAAATAAGAGAAATTTATTATTTTAACATGTTTATTATTTTATAGAATAATAGTTTATCGAGTTTTTACTGTCTTAAACTCTTATATGATATGTACTTTCAGCTACTATAAAAGGTTCTTACCATTGTGGTGAAGTCATAGCAACTAAGGACTATTTGCACAAACTAAATAAAACTATTGACCAGTATAGTTTGTTAATCAATTGAACCACAGATAAATAAAAGGAGAGATTAAGTGAGTGAATATTTTTGATTTTTTTTTGAACAACTAGAATATTTTAGATTAAATTTTGAGTTATGAAAAATTGTTCCACAATTTTCTAAAAAAGAAAATAATAATTGACCGACAAATAAAATGCTACAAAATTGAAAAATATAGATAAACAGAGAAGAGAGTTCGCGTGGGCTTTCAGAACCCTCTGTACCGCCCAGAGGCTATAAACAATAAATTAAAGACGACTTAGGGTTTCGGAAATCCATAAAAAAAATCGACGCAACCGAAACGGACATCGACAGAGAAAAGAAAAACTCAGAGATCGGGAAAGCATGGATTCGCTCAAAGGAAAAGGGAAAGCAGGATCGAAGGGAGCTTCTAAGTTGGATCTCCTCAAGGAATGGACCAACTGGTCTCTGAAGAAGGCCAAAGTCGCGACTCACTACGGATTCATCCCTCTGGTCATCGTCATCGGCATGAACTCCGATCCCAAGCCACATCTCTTCCAGCTCCTTAGCCCTGTCTGATCCTCCAGCCTGATCAATCTATCCATCTTTCTCCGGGCTTGCTTCATATCGTCTTGGATTTTCCGAATCTTCTTTATGTTTTTCATTAGCTAAGTTCTATGCTTCTTATACTCTCTGTATGGAATCAGTTAGACTATGATAATGTTTGATCAAATTCATGCTTTGAATCTGTGTTGGCTGGGATTATCTTATTCAATGTTTCACTTTTGATTATTATTCTTTGAGAATTGAAACTATAAGCTATGTTGTTCCAATGCCTTGTATCATCTTTATAACCTCTGCTGCATGAGCCAATCTTGAGGTTGATATAAGGTTCTATGGCTATTACCATTTTCATTCTAACCAAAACTGATTCACTTGTCAATCTTAGCCTTGTTTTGAACAAACTATACTCTTACAGACTAAAAAGAGAAGAAGATCCAGTTTTTACATTAGAGTTTAGAGGTGACATAGCTATACTGCAGGTCTTTGTAGACACAAACATAGTACAAACAAAATGTCCATAAATAATGAATGTCAGACTAAACGATAAAAGCCTTACCGCTTCGTTGATAAAATCGTTGAAGCAGCACCAATTTAACAGTAGGAACTGAGAAAAGTGGTTTGCGCTGTGTGCCAAATACTAACAGCTCCACAGCAATAGCTGGTTCAAAATGTGAAAAGATTGGGAATAAACCATCAAGCCGCACAGATATGGTTAAGGAGTACTGCATCTTACAAAGAAGCCTTTTTACTTATATTACCCGTAACTGATAGTCTATTAACGTTTTCATCACCTCTGGAGTCATTGAACATTTAAAGCCTCAAATTCATGTCGACATAGGTTAACGTATTACTGAATCCATAAAGGCACCATAAGAAGCCAGCAGATTGTGGAATTCTTTTTGACCGTTTGAAACTATGTGTTGTTCTTTTTTTGCTCTCAGCATTTGTTGTTGTTTGTTTTCTTTTTTTTTTTAACACTGGCAAAATTTATTATTGATCAAAGAAGTTTCCTGCAAAATACAAAACGAATGTGAAGACATATTAAAACATAAAAGGAAAAACAGTGAACTATTCAATCTCTATTTTGTGAATCACTGATGACCGCCTTGATCAAAGTTAATTTTGCAGCATTGCTACTCCAGATTGCATGTCCTACTGTTATCCACACTAGCGGCTTGAGAAGAACGCAATATTAGTGAAGGAAACCGTGCTGGAAACTCGTTGCCAGAAGCTTGATCATTTCCTAAGAAGATGAGTCTTCACAAAGTCCCGCAAATCATTTTACATTACCGAAAGAAAGTTTCCACGATCCAGTGGAGAAGGAACCACTCCTGATGCCAGTGAGCAAGAACCAAAGCGTTGCTCCTGAGACTTGCTTTAGTGAAACTTAAAAGATGCAAAAATTCGAACGAGGTTGAGCTGCTTGTTTGTTTGTTTTCAAATAGACTCTTTGGTAAGGTTCGTCTCTGGTAGGATGACAGAAATGCACTTTCGTCAATCATAACTCAACAAACGAATAAAAAATTTGATTCGGAAGTTAATCACTTATTGCGCTCAGATTTGATCGTACCAAATTCGGTTTGGTTTATCAATATTATAGTAATTTAGACAAAAACGTCATCGTTCTGAGTCCATCAGCTTCTTACAAGCTCACCTAACAAAAACGAGATTCAACTCTTCACCAGTTTGTTAAGTCGCCTTTGCCTTTGTCTCTTGGCTACATCGACGAGTCCGTCACTTTCACCCTTTTAAATATCTCCGCCACTCTCCATCCCTCTCCCCGCATCACCAACCTCTCTCTACCAACTCTCTCAAATGGAGTCCGCCGCTCTCTCCCGCATCGGTCTCGCCGGCCTCGCCGTCATGGGCCAAAACCTCGCCCTGAACATCGCCGAGAAAGGCTTCCCCATCTCCGTCTACAACCGAACCACCACCAAAGTCGACGAAACCTTAGATCGCGCCTCGGAGGAAGGCAAACTCCCAGTCTCGGGCCAATACTCCCCTCGCGACTTCGTCCTCTCCATCCAACGCCCCAGATCCGTCATCATCCTCGTCAAAGCCGGCGCCCCCGTTGACCAAACCATCTCCGCCCTCTCCGAGTACATGGAGCCAGGGGACTGCATCATCGACGGCGGAAACGAGTGGTACCAGAACACAGAGAGACGTATCGTGGAAGCCGAGAAGAAAGGCTTACTCTACTTGGGGATGGGAGTGTCCGGAGGCGAGGAAGGGGCTCGTAACGGCCCCTCCCTCATGCCTGGCGGATCTTTCCAGGCGTATAACAATGTCAAAGACATTCTTGAGAAAGTGGCTGCTCAGGTGGAGGATGGTCCTTGCGTGACTTATATTGGAGAAGGCGGATCTGGTAACTTTGTCAAAATGGTTCATAATGGGATTGAGTACGGTGATATGCAGCTTATCTCCGAGGCTTATGATGTTTTGAAGAACGTTGGAGGGTTGAGCAATGATGAGCTTGCGGAGATCTTTACTGAGTGGAATAAAGGTGAGCTTGAGAGTTTCTTGGTTGAGATTACTTCTGATATTTTTAGGGTTAAGGATGAGTTTGGTGATGGGGAGTTAGTTGATAAGATTTTGGATAAGACTGGGATGAAAGGAACTGGGAAATGGACTGTTCAGCAGGCGGCTGAGTTATCCGTGGCGGCGCCGACTATCGCTGCGTCGTTGGATTGTAGGTACTTGAGTGGGTTGAAGGATGAGAGGGAGAATGCTGCTAGAGTGTTGGAGGAAGCTGGTTTGAAGGAGGATGTTGGTTCTGCGGCGAGTGGAGTTGATAAGAAGAGGTTGATTGATGATGTGAGGCAAGCTTTGTATGCTTCTAAGATTTGTAGTTATGCTCAGGGGATGAATTTGCTTAGAGCTAAGAGTGTGGAGAAGGAGTGGGGATTGAACCTTGGTGAGATGGCTAGGATCTGGAAAGGAGGGTGTATTATCAGGGCGGTGTTCTTGGACAGGATCAAGAAGGCGTACCAGAGGAACCCGAATCTGGCGAGCTTGGTGGTTGATCCTGATTTCGCTAAAGAGATGGTTCAGAGGCAAGCTGCGTGGAGGAGAGTTGTGGGTTTGGCTATCTCTGCTGGGATAAGCACGCCTGGAATGTGCGCAAGTCTTGCGTACTTTGATACTTACAGGCGTGCCAGATTGCCTGCGAATCTGGTTCAGGCGCAGAGGGATCTCTTTGGAGCTCATACGTATGAGAGGACCGATCGTCCTGGTGCGTACCACACTGAGTGGACTAAGCTTGCAAGGAAGGGGAATTAGATTGTTCGAGGTTATCCTCTCTTTTCTCACGTTTTTCTTGTGCTTGTTTCTGAATTCAATGTTTGCTTTTTCCCAAAAGCTTGTGTAGGGCTTTGTTTCCATGATTTTATCATTTGAAAAAGAAAGAGTTTCATGCTTTTGAAGGCATAGAACACGAATAACATATTGTTTCAGCTTATTTTGTTCAGTTCTAATAAGAAATGCAATGCCCTGACTCTGTTTTTGCTGTCTGAGAGATTCTCTTTTTTTAGGTTTTCTGTTCTGTTTCGTGTTTCTTTTAGGCAAGGGTTTCGTGTTTCAAATTGTTAACGAGACAAGACAAAGCTTGATTTAGAAATTGATATACTGATGTATTTTTTCAGTTCCTGATAATTTTGAAGTCTCCTCCTAGGCTTCATAAAAAAGCGTCGAACAATTAACGTATTTGGGCTATAGAGAAAGAGCCCATTAATGTCGATGTTAGTTATTAAATATAAAGGCTGCACTATATCCATCATATATTTGAAAATTTTGAAGGATTTTTGTATCATGTTACAAACTGATAGAAGAAAAACCCCATTAAACACTTGTGTAGGGCTTTGTTTCCATATGATTTTTTATCTATGAAAACAAATTGTTTCATCTTTTGAAGAAAGCTGATAAATGAGAATTTCGCTAAAAACAAATTGTTTCAGTTATATTGCTCAGTTCAATAAGAAATGCAAGACCCTGGCTCTGTTGCTGTCTGAGAGATTCTTATTTATTTTCTGTTTTGATTCGCGTTTCTTTTAGTCAAATAGTTAACGTATTGAGCTATTAGAGAAAGAGCCCATTATTGTTGTAGACAAATATTAGTTACTAAGGCCGCTATATCCATCATATCTCTGAAATTTTTTTAAAGATTTTTCATCACGTTACAAAGTTACAAACTGATAAAAGAAATAGCCATAAACGGAACCTTTGCAATACTAAAGGACTTACTTCCCTTGACCCTTTCTGGAGAACAATGATCAAGTGACGTCAATACACAAGGAACCACCAACATAGAACCAAGTTGTAATCTTGTTGGTCAATATTTTCCTTTATGGTCTCAGTATCACTATAATATGTCTACTATTAATTTCATATGGGTTTCCAAGATAACCCGTATGCAAATTTTCTTGAATTTATTTGAGTTACAAGCACTCTGTGTTTTAAATAGCGCGTTATCCTTACGCCATGGTGCACTAAGGCCCGGACAAAAACACTTTTGTCCTTAAAGGCGAGGCAAGCGCTTTTGACTGAATCGCGAGGTGAGGAAAGCGTTTCTTAAGCGCACTTCCTTGGAAGTTCCTTTTCAGTAAAGAGTTTGATGACTCTTTAACATGCCTCTTTGAAAGCCCTAACTTTCCTAATTATAAAACAAACTTTGAATTTCTGTTCTGGTGTGCTTATCCCATCTCTTCTTGTCTCGGTTTCTCTGAGTTTTCAACAATTGTATGTTTGTTTAATCACATATGACACTCTTATATTGCACGTACGTATGCAGTTTGGTTTATTTCGATGTATACGTTAATCGACACACATACGACTATTTAATTTTTTGAAGTCCTCGATCCACAAGGCGCGCGCCTCACCTTTGCCATGAAGAAAGCGCATCCCTTATCGTCTAGGAGCGCCGTGGGCTATTTAAACACACAGAAAGCAATTCAAAGTATATTATCAAGCACTTGCACTAAGTTCTAACCTTAGATGAAAGTATGATTGCTATTTTGTACCTTTTCCAGCTTACACGAGGTCATAACCTCAATTTAAAGAAAAATTACAGTTTGTTACTTTGTTGAGAAAAATCAAGCGTAGTCTATAGATTTTTTGGGTTTAAAAGTCTAATTCGTCATCTGATGTTATCACTGGAGACATCAGATTTTGACTAGTTTGCATAAAATGATATTTGTGATGCATTATTTGTTGATGCAATAATTACAAACAAACAAAAGATTCCTGGAAAATATGACCCATCTGGCTATGGATTAGACAAATGAAATAACATAAAGGTATTGATTGGACAAACAATGGCGATAAATTATTTCCAACTACTAAATTCATA